GTAAATTTAATATTATTATTAATATTATACATATAATTTTTTTTGGTTAGATGATGTATCATGGGACATATTTCTAGTTACCACTACAAGCGCTCATAAAAATAGACAAGCATGGTATTTTGGCATGTTCTATATCGTGCACTCATGTCCGTTGGTTGGGTGTCGTGGGCTGGAAGGGGATAAGGTTGCTGGTCCATGCCCCATAATAGATGGCGAAAACAAATACTACAAGAGTACAAAATTTAAATATATATAAACGTAGCATAAATCATTTTTTTCAACATGAGAAATCATAAAAAAATTAGCTAAATGATAATTCCAACAGAATATAACACACAGTGGGTTTTTTTATTATCATCATTTTTTAATTATTTTTTCCCTTAATTTCCAAACTAAAATATAATTGATTAAATGAGAAGAAAATTATAAAAATATTAAGTAAGATGTTAGGAATTAAGCACTATTTTTGGCGTCTAAATTAATGATTTTTCTGGACAACTAACTTGGAAAGCCCAGCCCAAAAGGATTCAGAATACTTTATCTTTGGTGCTCTATTTTCGAAGATAAACTAAACTGATAGCGTGTGCAAACAGAATCCACGCTACCTTGCAGCATAAAACCACTCTTTCTTGCCGCGAAGGACGACGCCGGAGCCAGCTCTACAGTCTCGGTGGCCGATATATTCCTCTAATGTAAACCCTAATATCTCTATTAGTTTCCCATCAATATATGACATGTTTATTTATTCAACTGTTTTCTTAATGCATGTTGGTGTTTCTTTGTCTTGACGCTTTGCCCCTCTTCTGTTTGATTAAATGCCTGTTAGAGAGTACTTTATCTTCTTTCATTGATTTGTTGGCACCAAAAACAGTTCATTCTTTTACATTCACTATAAAACTTAGCTCCAACTGGAATTTAGTCTAATGGTACAAATCCCGAGCTCAGGTCTTAGAGTTATTTCAAATCATTTCATCACTATGTAGCCCCTAAAGAACTAAAATTTAAGTAGAAAAGGAAAAATTTATCATTTAGGCTTGAATGAAGTAATGTGATAAGTTTAATTTCTCCGTAGGGAAAGTAGTTGCAGAGCATAACAGCTTGTTTGATGCGTATGATCTAATATATATGATGATGCAGTTTCTATTTAATATGGATATAGGCACCTAAAAGGAGCAAGCTTCCTCAAAGGAGCAAGCTTTCTCTGATTAAAGAGAGAAAGAGATGGTGAAGTTTTCTGGGTATTCTTTGATTTCTTCATTTACTCCTTTTCATCCTGTTATTCTCAAAAAACAGCGTCCGATTTTCAGCATTAGATTTATATATCAACAATTCAACCAATTCAAGAAGAACGCTTTCTGTTCTTGCTAATAAACATCAGTTACGTAACATAGAAACTCACACCAAGATGGGTGTCGAACAATATTGCCCTCCTCTATTTAGGTGCGTATCCATCAATTTTAATTTTACTTTTTTGTTTGTTTGTTCTGGTTGAGTTGATAGGATGAATTTTTCTTTTAATTGATTTTGGCTGGTTATATTTGCAGTGTTGCTCCAATGATGGACTGGACCGATAATCATTATAGGACTGTTGCACGCATAATATCAAAACATGCATGGCTTTATACGGAGATGCTTGCTGCTGAAACAATTGTCCATCAACAAGGAGATTTGGTATATGAGTGAAAGATTAAGAATGAAAATTGATTAATTTTTTATCAGTTAGTGATTGAGTGCTAGTTTGCAGAGAGTTTGAATCCATCTGGATTAGTAGACCAACTAGCATTTTCAAGAACTTGAGATAGGGAGTTTCTTATGGCTATCAAGGTTGAGAAGCAGAGTTGTTTTAATATAATGTTTTTAGTACTTTAGATCTTTCATTGTGTTAGTAATTACATAGCTGGTTCCAATGATGTCATATAAAAGGCCGTCTGTGTGCATTTCTATGATGAATATGTGCTGAAACCAAACAATTCATATAATCTGTCAATGGGTTGTACTTTTTTTTATTACCTTCTCCTAAGAATTCAATTTGAATTGTATCAGCTTACCTGCACCATCCGTCAAAAATAGTCTTATCTTTGGTGTCTTGTGAAAGAATATGCTATGCCTATCTCCGCTGTGAATGTTTTGGCTTATTGATTAGTTCTTTGCAGAAAAAAAAAAAAATAACTCTGTATTTCTTGTTCATAATGCTCAGGACAGATTTTTGGCGTTTTCTCCCGAACAGCATCCAATTGTGTTGCAAATTGGTGGGAATAATTTGGACAACATCGCAAAAGCAACTCGACTTGCCAATTCTTATGGATATGATGAAATTAACTTGAAGTTAGTAGAATTCCCTCCTTTTCTTTATGTTTCTTTTTATTCTTTATATTTTTTTTGGGGATAAACTGAGACAACACCTTGTTTCCCTCCAAAATTACTAGTTGTGGTTGTCCTAGTCCCAAGGTAGCTGGACATGGGTGCTTTGGCGTCCGTCTTATGCTTGATCCAAAGGTTTGTTAACTATGCCAATTAAATTGACGAATCTCTGGGCTAGATGATGTATTTTATTTTCTTTTTAATATTCAATAAGTTCTCATAGATTGTTTGGTATTTACAAGGAAAGTTTGTCGGTGAAGCTATGTCAGTTATTGCTGCCAACACAGATGTCCCTGTTAGTGTTAAGTGCCGAATTGGTTTAGACGATCATGATTCTTATAATGAGCTCTGTAAGGACCCTTTATATGCATTTTATGTCTCTTCAAGGGAAAAGAAATTAGATTATTATGTAACTTAAAATGTTGTCCCTTCAAAGCTGACGGAATAAGTGTTCTCTGTTGTTCCTCATCATGGTTTATCGCATGGCCTTTTGCTACTTGCTTCAAAGTTTCAAAATTATTATGCTTATGTTTTTATGCTCTTTGGATGTATTTCATCATTATGGTAATTACTGGCCACTTTTTAGAAATTGGATATTGTATCAGAGGCCCATCATCTCAGCCACTGTATTCCTGCTTAATTGGGTTAGCAAAAATGATAGAATCATTGAGAAAAGTTTTCGCTACAATTTGGGGCATGGACATCAAAGGAAAGTCTCACACTTTTAAAAAATCTGCTGATTTGGGTGAGGCCAGTATATGATGAGGGGTTCAATTGACCCCCAAAAAGTAAGAAAAATCTATAAAGATATATTGTGTTATATGTTGGCAATTAAAGTTTTTGAAGATGTACAGAACGACCTTCTGAAAATATCACAAAACTAAATTATATGGAATCATTTTAGTAGTTTTCCTAAGATATCAATTAAATTCCACTACTATTAAACAAGGACTCACCATTTTTTTACTTCTATTTCCAAGCATTTTAGCTTGCTCTGGAAGCATAAAATCAGCACATTCTTTTTAAAAATTAAAATAAAAAAGAAATCCTTTTCTAATTCCAAATCTTAAAAGTATATCCCATCTGCTAAGTGTGTTATTGCGTTTTATAAAGAAGATATCTCACACTGTCTATATATAAGTTTCCCAAAAAAAAAAAAGTCACAGGATAACTAATTAAAATCTCCTTTTCTTTTTTTGTGCTCTATTTATTTATTTTTTATTTAAATATTTCCTTTCAGATTAATTTTTTTTTTATGAGTTTTGATCTCCAAAATCGCTACAATCTGAAGTAATTTTATTCTAGAGAGATAAATATGATCCTGTTGAATTTTTTTTTTTGGCTATACCAGTGAGTGAAGAGCATGTATTCAGAAATAGTTTGCTAATTCTACCCCTAACAGCTTCCTTGCTTAACTTGTATATTAAAGTATCGCTTGACTGATGAAAATGTTGATCACATTTGGTGCCCTCATGTACCCCTTTGTTGCTTATGTTGTCATTTTGGTTCTGATTTGCACCTTTGTTTGGTGGGGTTCAGAAGGGATTATCTGTGTTGAATATTAAGGGCTAATTGCTCCCTGACATTTTGTGCTACAATTTCTGGCACTGTATCTTGACCTTTATGTTAATATCCCCTTTCAGGTGATTTTATCTATAAGGTTTCTTCTCTATCTCCGACTAAGCATTTTATTATACATTCACGGAAGGCTTTGCTCAATGGCATTAGCCCAGCTGACAATCGAAGGATTCCTCCCCTCAAGTATGTATGGGCTGAAAAAATTTAGTTTGTGATTGAATGTTTACGTAATTCTCTGGAAGATTCAGAATATTTATATTTATTTAGTAATCATAACACTGGGCTGCTATTCTACAATTTATTTTCTCCTTAATTACTAAGCATCCTTAGATCAAATAATGATATGCTTCAGTTTGTGTTTTGATTGTCATATTGATGCAGATATGAGTACTATTACGCCCTCTTACGGGATTTTCCTGACTTAAGATTTACAATAAATGGAGGCATAAATTGTGTTGATGAGGTGAGGTCTTGTTTTCTCCTTGTATAATTCAGCTTCTGTTTACATTCAGATTGTTGCTTTTGAAATGCTTTTAAAGGTTTATTTTGTTATCACTATTCTTATATTGCCTATGATCCCTCATGACATGACAAATTGTTTTGTTGATTCCATGTTTCCCTATTTCCATTGGACATCTCAATTGATAGGTAAATGCAGCATTAAGGGAAGGTGCACATGGTGTAATGGTTGGGCGTGCTGCCTACAATAAGTATGTATAATGAGTTTTTTATGCACTTCTTGTAGTTAGGGGCATGGTTGATTTTTATGCAGCCCTCTTTCTCAATTATGTTGTTCTTCCCTGATCATTAATCTAATTTATCAGCCTCTGGAATACTCTGGCACATGTTGATACTGCAATTTATGGTGCACCAAGCAGTGGTCTTACACGTCGTCAGGTTCGAGAGCAAATATGGCCTTCCACAGGGACACATCTTCTGAATTTATTTTTTATCCTATTAACTTCAATTCATGGCTTTATTGATTTTTAGGTCCTTGAACAATATCAAATATACGGGGATGCTGTTCTGGGAACATATGGGAATAGTAGACCTAATATACGGGACCTGATAAAGGTACATTAGATAATTTAACCAATTACATGTAAGCAACCATTATTCTGAAAATAACTGAATATCTTCATTGAAGGACAAAGCTACATCTCATAAAACGTTCTCTGTTGCCTTGCTTTTTGTCAGGGATGAATGGTCAGACATCTATACTATATAGTGATGAACAATATTTTTATTATATTTTTTTTTTTCATGTCTACTTGTTGAAGAGTATAGGGAGAGTGCTGCTTTTTGTCATCATCTGCATGGCTATGAGAAATTCGGATTCTGTCCTGATTGCATTTAGTTGTAAGAAAAGGACAAGCAGACAAGTTGTTGGGGTAGGACTTTTTTTTTTTTCCATTCACATGTCATGTCTTGAAATTTGTCTGTTTAAGCAGACAAGTTGTTGGGGTAGTCTTTTTTTTTTTTTTTTTTTCCAATCACATGTCATGTCTTGAAATTTGTCTGTTGTTTGGTTTGGATTTAATTCATTTTCCAGTCCCGCCGGATAAGAATGCAAACTGGTCCACATCACTCTGTTGTTTGGTTTGGATTTAATTCATTTTTTTCCAATCAATATATTTGAGAAGTGTTAATGTGCTGCAGCCTTTATTTGGTTTTTTCTATTCCGAGCCTGGAAACAATTTGTGGAAGCGCAAAGCTGATGCTGCTTTCCAGATGAAGAATATCACGGTAAGACAATTGTGATAACCTACTTAGTTTTGCTGTGTTCTAATGTCTGTGAGTCCTATCATACCAAATTGTCACAAAACCTAATTTCCTCTTAGTATCATATTGAAAAAATTTTATTTGGTTATGGTATGATTGGATATGTTTTAAAATATTTTTTATTGTTTTTCAACTTATTTGGATATTATTAATGATGTGTTTATATGTTAATAAGATTTTTGCTACGTATAGCTAACATCATTTATTAAAATTAGTGATTCTAAAGAAAGTTCAAAATTATTTATTCAATTAAGTCTTTTGAAAAAAGAAAAAAAAAGGATGAGCATTGAATTTGAATGGATATTTGAAGTCTTGATTATTTGAATATGGTTATTCAAAATCCAAATCTAATGGGTAATGAATAAGTTATGATCATTGTTTTTTTCATTTGAATATGGTTATAGTATTATCCTAATATTTGTGGATACTCATTTCATTCTACCATGTCCTGTCTGTTGAGCACAAGACAATCATTAACCGATTGTTGACTGATGTTGTTAAAACTACTTTGACATTTCAGACAGTCAAATCCTTTTTCGAGGAAACCCTAGTAGCGATTCCTGATACTGTCTTGGATTCACATGTTGCGGAGCTACCATCTGGTCGTAAAGATCTTTTTGCTAATGTACAGGGATTGCTTCCACCACCGTATGAAACCAGAGAAGAGGAGGTAGTAGTATATGCTTAGTCTTAACACATAGGCGTCATTTATACCTCGTTATATCCCATATTAAGCTTACTCAGCAATTGCATTTTTTTGGATGACTTGGTTGATCGGTCAGTGTAACAGTATCTATAAATTTGGTGTTGCTGTGGGACTGTCGAAGATTTATGATTGTCCCTCAACACTGAGATACAGACACTTTGGATGTATGTGCTAATAATGTATGACAATGAATCTGGTCTTCGATACTGGTAAATTCCACGTGTCAAAGCTCTTTGATTTTGGAATACTAACATTTGATCAATATATGTATTAGGATAACATGCTGGATTACCCACTTTTTTTTTCCCTTTCATTTGGATTCCCTGAGTTTAACAAGCTTGGCTGGACCATGTTGAAAACAAAAGAAATTATCCACAAATATAGCAGTACCAGTACTCCACAGTGCAAATGGCCTCAATCACCATGGCTGCCTCGTTTCTCATGACATAAAAAAAAGACAGCAGCTGCTGCTGTCTGCTCAGATGCTGGGACCGAAGCCAGGTCCCCCAGGAGCACCGGTCTGTGTAACCATGCCAACAGCTAGGATCGGACAAGGGGGGTTGCTTGACACAGCTAATCTGCCGAGTACGTGCAAGCTCTCTCCTATTCACACGTGCCAGATAGATCTGGGATCGAAGCGAGCGGGCCTGGTTCAAATTGCGTATGAATTGTTGGGGAATCGAATATGCGACTTTCGGCTGATCACCCCATCTAACCAACCGCGTCACAATTGTAATGTAACGGTGGAGTTAACTTCTCAGAAAGGCTCACGCGTGCTACATGGTCAATTTTTGAATTTTTTTATATATTTTTAAATTATTTTAATATGTTAACATCTGAAAATGGATCTTAACACTTTAAAACTTGGTTTGCCTAGATCACACTCACTAAAGAAGCATAATTTGCACATTAATGTGCTCTATAAAATAAGTTCAATAAAGACTTGCATTTACTGCCCAAGACTAGTACTTGCCAGGGAGTGTTTATTTTTGTGTAGTTTTTATTTTTTAAAGTGTTTTTTTTATTTTTTTTTGTTTTAAAAATAAAATTAATTTGTTTTTAAATTTTAATTGTTTTAGAATGATTTTATATTTGTGTAAAAAGAATATTATTTTAATATATTTTTAATTAAAAAATATACTAAACATATAATGTCTTCCATACATCCAACATTTTAGATTGCATTAGAGTGTGTTTGATATTATGGTAACTGTTGTGATTATAGTTTGAAATAAGTTGTTTTATAAAACATACTTTTAGTTGAGATTGGTTTGAAAAAATATATGTTTGGTTAAAATTATGGTTGAAATTAAAATTGAACAAAAAATAGTTTAATATGTTTGGTTAAAAATACTTTTCAAATTGAGATTGTAAAATAACTAAAAATGATATATATATATTAATATTCATGATTTTTAATTGAAATATTGTATATTTAACTACTGCTATTATATCATAAAATAAAAAATACTTTATATAAAATATTGTTTATTATTTTATTAAACTATCTATAATTTCATCACGTCAGGTACAAAATTCATCCGACAAAAACTTCTTGAGCGTGCAACAACATCAGGTAAAATATCATTAGAAACAAAATTTGTAAAACCTCTAGGTGAAAAATAAAAAATTGACCAGTTTCATGTAAAACAAAAAAAATTCATAACTCTTAATTGGGTTATCAAAAAATTCTAAAAATTTACGTGAAGCATTCTACTATGATTCCTTAACTTGGATTAAAATTTTATAATTTTTAAAGAAATTCAGAAATTTGATGAAAAATCATAATTTGACTAGTTTTACGTTATTGGACGGAATTTTCAATCTGATCATCAAATTAAGCTAAAATTTTATGAGAAATCTTAAAATACATTGAGTAAAATTTGGTTAAAATTCTAGGAAGAAGGGAGTTTGGTAGTGCTAGCAAAAAAATAAGGATCGTCAAATAGAAGCAAAAGGACTCATTAAGTGTAAAATGGTTATTTGTGATTAAAAAATAGAACAAATTAGCTCTCCTTTTCTTTTATAAGCTACCGACTGGGCATAAACAAAATGTGAAAAGAAAGAACAAAATAGAACGTTAGACAAAAAGAGAAAAGTAAGGAAAAAAATAAAAAAAATGAGAGAATGACCTTGTAAACTTGAAAGTTCACCTTATAAAGCACTAATCTAAGAAAGAATCAAGTGAAGAAAAGATGAATTGAGAGAGAGAATTTAGCCACACTAGGAGGAGAAGAGAAGTTAGGAGAACTTAGATTGGAGTTGTTTCGGGAGTAGGGCATCAGGTAGGAGGAGTTGGGTGATCACAAGCAGATGGTAGATGATTCATCATTTTCTTTTAAAATTTAAAATTTCATTATTAGTTATGAGTTGTTTATGATATATTGATATGAAAAAAATAGAAGAAAAAACTTATTTGTATTATAATTAGGATGTTGGGTAATTCGTATGGAATTATCAGTTAAATTGGCTATTGATAAAGAATAGTTGGATGTTGGATAATTCTTATGGAATTATAAGATATTGGGTAATTCATATGGAATAACCCGTTAGATTGACTATTGATAGAAAATAACTGAATGTTGGATAATTCGTATAGAATTACTAGTTAGATTGCCTATTATTAGATAATAGTCAGATGTTGGGTAGATTGGCTATTGATAGAGAATAACTGGATGTTGGGTAATTCGTATAGAATTATCAAATGTTGGGTAATTTGTATGGAATAACCAGTTAGATTGGCTATTATTAAAGAATAGCCGAATGTTGGGATACAAATTACCGGTTAGATTGACTATAAATAGATAATAGCCGGATGTTGGGTAATTTGAATTATCGATTAGATTGATTATTAATACAGAATAACCAAATGTTGGGTAATTCGAATTATCGATTATATTGACTATTATTAAAGAATAGCCGAATATTGGGTAATTCATATGAAATTACCGGTTAGATTGGTTATTAAAAGAGAATAGCCGGATATTGGGTAATATGTATGGATACCGGTTTGATTGTTGGCTATCAAAGAGGGTTAGCCGGGTTTGAGGTAAAATTATGAGTTATTAAATTAAAAATTAAGCAATGAGTGTTAGTTGTAGAGGTTCTCTAAGTATATGATTAATAAATTATGAATGAGTTATTAATGTTAATATATAGTAAGTCAATGATAAAAGATAATTTGATATATTTTGAAGAATTTTGAACATAATAGCTTTACTATTTTTAATGTGTTATTTTTCTTATTTCTTATTAATATTATGTATACAAGTTTTTCATAAGGTGATACGGAGCGTTAAATATGGGCTTTGTAGTTAAATCTATTTATTTTATGGAATGTAATATCTTTTGCTTTATATGTAATTTATATTATATGTAGATTTTAATATATGTATCCTAAAGATATTTGCTTTTGATATTTATACATTTAGAAAGTATGAGTAAGGAACTAATATTAGTAAACTCTTCGAAAAGAATACTTAGTAATTATAATCATGCATGTTTAAAAGATGGATGCATGTTAATGTAATAATTAGTTCACTATAAATCATTTGAGTTTATATTTGTTTGTAGTTAATGTTTTACTTGTTGATGATGTAAAGTTGGAAAAGCACTATGAAGTATGGTTATGTGAAATATTGTATGATGAGATAGGATATGATCTAGGATGGCTAGATCGAAGTGGAAGATTTGAGTATTGTGATTGAATGAAATCTAGTTGGTAACATCAAAAAACAAAGGAAACCCTGTTGAATTTTTTTTAAAAAAAAATCCTATAATCTTAGACATATTATTAAATACTTGATATTAGTAAAGAAATGTTTTAGATTTCATAACATTATAATTTGAGGATGTTACAAAATTAAGATTGCGATTAAATTATGCAAATGCTACATCATCATGCGATCTCTTTCTAATATAATTATGTTAAATACTAATTTTTTAAATAAAACACAATATTTAAGAAAAAATTTAGGATTTTTTTTACTGGGTCAGGCTAAAACACTAAGCATTTAGATTTAGGCTAAACTTGATCTGGACATGAATAGTGGAGACGCACTCCACTATTCATGTGAACAATGAAGCATATAGAAGACGAAGGAGAAGGAGAAAGAGAAAGGGAGAGGAAGAGTAGTGGCTGGCGTTGAAAAAGAAGAAGGCCAGTGGTAAGTTGATGGAACTGCTCTTCATTGTACTCTGTTTCTGTTCTTCTTCTTAGGATAGTGGAGAATGTAGAAGGTGAAGGAGAAGGACAAGGAGAAGAAGAAGGGAAAGGGAATAGCAGTGGTTGACGGTGGAAACGACGGAGGCTGGTGGTGAGCTACTCTACACTATTCCCATGAAACTCGAACAGTGAATTAATTTACTCTCTACTATTCATGTGAATAATAAAGAATGCAGAAGATGAAGGAGAAGGAGAAAAAAGAAGGGGAAGAGCACTGGCTGATGATGAAAATGATGGAGGTCGATGGTGAGCTACTCTTCACTGTTCACATGCAATGTAAATAATAGAGAATACAGAAAACAAAAAAGAAAGAGAAGGGTAAAGGGAAGAGGAAGAGCAATGATTGTTCCATCAAGGGGGGGAATTGATGATGATTTGAGAGAACTACTCTTTATTGTGCTTTGTTTTTTTTTTTCAGCACATCTGTTTACTGTGTTTATAAGCATAGTTTGCAACTAGTATAAAAGTTGCTTTTGGTTTTCTTGTGATTTAACTGTAAATATTTATGGATCCCACAGACAATAATATGCATTTATATCATTACCAAATATATGATAATAATGTTTTTCTGTAAAGACAGCCGCTAAGTAAAACACACAAAGTACAAACATGACCTGCGTTTTTTAAATGAGAAAGCTATTATTGCTCGAGAATCAGCTTGAAACATAGCCTTGCAAAGCCCTTTGGACCCAAATGAGTTCTTGGATAATTTACTTATAAATAGCTTTCACGATGTATTCAACTTGAAAATTAGTGTCCCAATAATTTTTAAAATTTTCATAATTTATTTATTTTTTTAGAAAAAAGATTGTTGATACATCGTAATGAGCTTTTACCGAGATATATTTATTTTTGTTAATACTAATCTATCAAGGCTTCTGATTGAAGAATTCTTCTTCCCAAAAATACAGTAAAAAATTGTTAACCAACCAAATAGCTTTCACAGCACGCGAGTAAAATCTAAAATCTATCCTTTATTTACATGCCAGTCACACGCTACCCTCATTTCTCCTCTGAAAAACCGCACCCAGCAAAACAGAAAAAACCAAAACCTGAAAAAAGCCTCACTACCTAACCAAGCAACAATGGAATCGTCACAGAACCACGACACTTCACGGACCGTCGCTACTAACTGGACCATCGCCAGTGGCTCTCTCGTCGATTCACTCGCGTTCGAGTCCTCTCTTTCCCTTATCACCCACGACGATAATAATGATCAGGGTCAATTCTCCACCGTCGATTCTAAATCGAAATCTCCTCTTATCCTCTACGCTCCTGCACCCGATTCCGCTCCCTGCGAGATCACTAGTAAGTCTCTACTCTTTTTTTTTTATTGATTTCTGTTTTTAGCAGATTGTTAATCTGGTTATTTTCATTGAGAACTAAAATTTAATAATGGAAAATGAGTTTAGTTTGCGCCTGTGACTTCTGTTTGGTTACTGAGAAACTGAATGAAATTCAAAGAAATTGGAGTTTAGTTTTGTTGTAGAGCGGTTAGGTGTTAAATTATTTATCTGCTAGATTTTTTTCTGAATCTATTTGCCTTTCGAAGATCTTTCTTTAGTGTGATTGCTATTTGGACACAAAGATAACGAAGGGCAAAGAAAGGATGATTTAAAAAGAAAAGAGGGAGTTTTTTAAAATGCTATTTAGGTTTCAAAATCTAGAAAAAATCAATGAGTAAAAGTGCATATTAATTACTTGTGTTTTACTCTTTGAGTAGTTTATTGAAGTTCTAGTAGAAATGGATATTGAATAGCGAAATATGATTTTCTTGTAATATAAAGTTTCAAAGTTTCTGACACACCAAAGAGGAATTACTGGATTTATTACGGATGAGTTTTGTGTTATTTTTGTGTTTAAGGTAATTTGTGTACGAATTTAAGGTTTGAGAGTAAATATTTGTATTTATATCTGAAATTTCTCAAAATGAAAACGAGTTTTATGCAAAGATGGAAATGGTCCTATAATGTGCGTTTTTGTGAAGACGTCTTAAAACTTCTTTTGGTATTTGTGAAGTCTACCCTTTGCAAAATGGTGGCTGTTTTGAACTTGTTGGAAAATTTAGATTATATTCTTGGATTTTGTTTTGTTGCTCTTATGGAATAGTTTAGTTGATGGCATTAAAAAAGATTTGATCCTTTCATCCCTTCGGTCTATTAGTTAATGGGCATCTGTATTGTCGTGTGACATGTTTTCTCCATCCACAATGGTTTGGTTGATTTGTGAATTCTCAAATGCTTATAATTAGTATGTTTTTTTTTTTCCTGGTTTTACATGATATCTAAGTGTTATGGTGGGACTAAAATTGTCTAGATGGCTGAATAATGATTATGGCCATTTAATAATTGTTGTTAAAAATCAAATAAGAGTTCCAAAAATTGTAAATTCTTTATGCAGAAATGGTGTGTCATCATTGCCATCCCTTCTGTCACACAGAATGTTATTTTTTGTAATTTTCTTATTTACATCATCTGGAAGCTGAACAAGATATTTTATTTTCATTTTTACCCTCTCTTCGTAAATGATCAATAATTTCTTGTAATGCAGTAAATTTTGCACAAAAACATGAAGTGAGGCAGGTTTATGTTCGAAGTACTGCTCGAGTTTATGAAATATACTGTGCCCCTGAGCAGCAGAGCAGCATTGAGTATCTTTGTACTGTTCGCTGTGGCATTGCTGCTAGAGATGAAGAAGTGCTGCATGCTACCAATGTTGAAGAAGCTGTTTTGGCACATGCAAGTTCTGTTCAAGAATCAGCTGAAGAGAAACTCAGAAATGGTAGTAGCCTATCCCCCAATGAAGATGACTGGGTTGAAGTGAAAGCTCTTGATAGTCCCCTGGTCATCAACAGAAACAGTTCATCATCAAATTCTGATATAAAGCCAGAAAGAAACTCGCAGGTATTGAGACTTGCTCTTTTATAGACTTAATTGATATTTGATGGTTTTCTTCTTTCTAATGGATTGGTTTAATCTGCAACCCACCCCCAATTATCTTTTAGTGTATAATGAATTAGCCAGAAACTGAAAACAAGGAAATTGGATGTGATTAAAGTACTCTTTGAATTCAAAATCATGGATGTTATGTGTTTTCAATGACTAGGTCTTTTCAGGGAATATATCATTAGAAGGTTGTCCATCTATCTTGCTTTTCCAGAACTAGATGTGGATGCTATCTCTGGAATTCTTGAATTGAGGGTTGTGATGCTCCCCTATAATGGGTCAAGAAAGGACTTGCCTTTCCTTTCTTTGCATGTTTGTGTTTTTCTTTTCTTCTCTTCTCTTCTCTTTTGTTTTTTGGTTTCCCGTGCTGTTTGGTTTTGTCTCACTGCACAATACCACTTCCTGAACTGACAACTCTAATTCTAAGGGAGGGTAGAAGAGAAGCAAACCAATAGATTGCATAGAACTACCAATTTGATGGTGATGGCCTAATAGCTTACTGTTAATGGTTGTAGGAAGATTGACAAAGCTGCATTTATTTGTTAGAAGGATCTTTCAGATGAAGTTGAATTTCTAAGTTTATAATGTATTTTCAGAAAATTACTTGGGAATTAAGAGGGTGTTTAAGTATAGTCAGATTAAAGCATGAAAGCACTGAAGCACACTTGGCTCTTTACTGCTTTATCTTAATTAATTTTCAATGCCTGATGGATAGAACTTTCAGGATTTTTATGAAGCTACAGCAGAGATCACTGATGCAAACCCGTCCACTTCCCTTACACTCAGGCTGCTTTCGCTTCAGAATAAAGGTTATGTTTGTGTTGATGAAGTTTATGTATTTGGTGATCCTGCTGACACAAGTAATTCGGATAATCAAGCGGGTCCAATGGAGAACTCCGCTGGAAATTCACTTATGGCCATGCTTGTACCTGCCTTTTTTCAGTTGTCTAAAACAAAGGGTATTGGTGGAGGAGAAGATAAATCCAATATTGATACAAGTGAAAGACAGAATTATCAGGACAATGGGACAGAAGCAGCTGCTCCTGTTGATGTTGAGAAGAAAATTCAGGAGGAAGTGAGGTTGCAAGAAGCAGCTGGGCCTACTTCCAAACCTGTCCAGCATGAGATCTCCCAACAAGTTTCAAATACAGAGAGCAAGCCTAATATTTCACACAATCATTTTGAAGGTGTTCTGGATCAGCTTGTTTCTCGAGTTAACAGAATAGAGGATCTCTTTTTGAAGTTTGAGTAAAGTATGCTGAAGCCCATTAACAGCATTGATGTGAGGCTCCAGCGAGTCGAGCAGCAACTTGATGCGCTCACAAAGAAAACTGAGAGCTCTGCATTGGTTTCTTGCACAAGAATATCTGCTCCTGATTTTTCATGCAGTGAACCAGAGACCAGCTCGTATAACAGTAGTAGTGATATCAGTTATGTGGCATGTGAAGAAAATAGGAGCCACTCTCTTTCTCCTCTGACGTCTGTTCTCCCTGATGCCACCCCTGTTTCTGTAAATGACACAATGTTACAACCTGGTCTGGTAGTTACTGCTCCTGAGTTCTCGAATTATGATGGTGAGGAAGAAGATCATGCGGTGGAATCATTGCAGGAATCTCCAAAGGATAAACAAAAGCATACTATGTCAATTGATGATGCTTTAGCATATGCACTTGCTGGATTCTTATCTTCAACTTCAATCCAGTCCCAGAAATATTCTCAAACTCTTGTAGTTAAGACTCCTGATTTTACAAGCGAAGAAGAAAACACCAATGAGAACGTGACTCCACCTATAGTTGAATCTGAACGAAATATGGACCCTCCCATTTGTTTTTGTGAATCTGATGGGACAGAGCACTTGGGAAATTCACTTTCATCTGTATCAAATATTACATCTTTAGAGGGCGATGAGAATGTGATGAGATCTCTTAATGATAACAACTCCTCAAAAATGGTTAACGGGGTTGATGAGCAATGCCATCGTAGCGAGGGGGGAGAAAGTGATTCACAGGACATCTGTGTTGGCCATGCAGGTGCACCAGCCACACATGATGTGGTGGGCACGGATTCGTATCACCTGGAAAACGACATAAAGGATGGGGAAATTGACAATAAAATAAGCAAAATTCCTGATCTTCAGAAAACCGAGAGTCTGAAACAGTTTTCTAAAGATCAGACTGATGATGGCTCTGTTACCACCCAGGAAATGGCTGTTTCACATGAATTAGTCGCTTCCAAAGGCACTGAAGAAGAATCTAAACAAGACATTCTGCAGAACATTGTTGAACTGTCACGAGCTTCTTCTGTAGTAGATTTTGAATCTCCAATCCTGGAAGTGAAATTTGTTTCGCAAGGAAACTTAGGTATCAAGTCTCCCCTTGAAGCCCTTTTGGCTGGCATGCCTGATCTGGAAGTTGAAACTCCATCAGCTATGGAAGACAATAATAACGGGTCTAAAAATGGCGATCAGTGCAGCTTAATTGCAGTCGAGGATTTTGGAGCAGAAGGTTCTGGAACTGATACCCACATTTCAGTGGACATGGATTATTACCGTCTTAATGAGACGCCTTCAAATATCGAAGCTGATAAACCATACGACTGTTATACAAGCAGCAGCCAGGAAATGCCAGCTGTAAGTCTGATATGAGAATGAGCTGCTGTTCATATGTAGATGCTAAGCTGTATATAAATCCGTACTTTAAGCAGTACTCTGGCAGCTACTATCTTCTTCGACCGCTCTACCCTTCACTTCTACCATTGTCAACGTGTTTAGTTGATGGCAAATGCCAAAGGCTTCTCTAGGAATTCCAGAATGGATCTTTTTGTGCAATATACGTGCTGTTTTAATTGTTGTGACAAGATATGCGGATTGATGAGGAATTAGGATGTAATTTGTTAGAAACTGATGGATCTGAATATTTTATAATATGTTATTTTTGTTTAAGCTTATGTGTAAAAGTGTCAAAGGGTAATAATTCTAATTACCTGAACTTGGTAGAATAATAAGCTTAAATGACTTGAATTTAGCTTGTTTTTAAATTTAATATTTTTGTGGTCAGTTGTATATTAAGTTTTAAGTATATGCAATTCCTTTTAGGTTCAGGTATATATAAGAGTTTGGTGAGCATCTAAATCCATTTTAAGTTTAAATTCATTTGAAACTGATAATTATTATAAGTTTTATGTTGGGTAATGAGTTTACTCATTTATCTATTCTTATGGTTATTAATATAAAATATTAAAAGTTAGAGTAATTATTTTTTTTTATCTATTTATCTATTCTTATGATTCTTAATATTAAATATTAAAAGTGAGAGTAATTATTTTTTTTATCTCTAAATATATAAAATATTTTTAAAGGTTTATCATATTTATATTAAAATTAATATTATATAAAAAATATTTATTAATATTTTATTTTTCATTAATGACATAAAAAGAAAATAACATTCCAATTCATTCATTCAAGTAACATGATAAAATTTAGGGGTTATATATACCTCTTAAATCATCAGGCGAAATATTTATATTTTTTATTTTTATAATATTTATCATACACAAATAAAAATAAATATTCTTTTTCATTTATTATAATTTATTATTAAAAATCATTAATTTTATTATTGGATGTTAAATCCCACTAAAAAAAATGGTTATGTAAGTGTTGAGTCATCAACTATCTACCATTAATTTAATTGTTATCTATTATTCAAACACTCCAAAATTTTTATTTATGGGCATATTAAATTTTAACATATCATCCATAATTTATAACCTAGACAAAAATATATATGCCTTTTCTGGTCATTGATCAAATTGTCGAATTTAACATTTCTTGTCAATGAGATTTATTGAAGGGATTAACTTTGTCACAAATTGAAATTTGGTATCTAATTACTGTTTATGGAAATACAAATTTCGAATAAAATCGCAAGAATCTTTATTACAGTTAAATCTTCAATTTCCACTTTAATTTTTTTTCAATCACTCTCTCTCTTATTCTGTGCTACCGTCGTCATATAATTAGTTATCAATTTTAAAATGATCCCTTAACTTTTGTAATACCCAAACTTGTTCAGTTATCTTTCAAAATCATTAAATACTGAGATAAACTATTAAACAGAGGTCTAAAATGAAAGCTAAATTGAAATCTGAGGGATATTTAACAAATATTGTAGTTTATAAGGGGGAAACTGACAAAACTCCAATCCTGGGAAGATTTTGTGATTTATCCAAGCACTAATAAATAAATAAATAAGAAAACAAAGGCATGAGATCAAGGTTCTTAAAATCACAATTTTGATATGGCATGAAAAATACAAAACAAACTCAGATCGTAAAATCATAAAATTATAAGGAATTTTAACATACATTAAAAAAATCATGCTTAAAAAAAAATCATAGCTGAAGATACGGGAGAACAACTTATGGTGAAGAGAAAGTCATTGATGATGAAGGCTGAAAAGGAGAGCGATGTCACTTGCTGCTGTTGATGTAAAGGAAGCCGTGAGCTGTTGATGATGGGAAAGTAAGGAGATCGTTGCCAGCTTGTCGCTGTTGATAAAGAGGAAGCCATTAGCTATTGATGATGAGAAAGAAAGGAGATCGTCGTCGACTTGCCGTAATTGATGAAAAGAAAGCAACGACTGTGAGCACTGATGATTGAAGTGAAGACCAGACCGATGACTGAGTCACTGGAGTGAAGACTGGACTGATCGTCACCGCTTTTGTGGTAGCCTGTTGGTTAATATAAAAGAAGATTAGGGATTTGTATTCAATGAAAAGGAAGAAACACCCAAAATGCGATCTGACGCAATGACTGGAGTGAAGATTTGGAGTGACCGTGCATTTACCCAGCTGATAAGTGCCGGACAGTTGGAGCATGGGAGAAATATTTACTTCAGTTTATACGTTTTGGTGAAATCGTTCAATTGATCCTGAACTCGTGATTTTATGTGATTTCATCTATTTTTTATTTTTCCAAACTATTCAACAAGCAAAGCATGTTTTGACTCATAAAATTGTATAATTTTACGAGTCAAAATAACATGTTTTGACTCGTAAAATCGTATAATTTTACGAGTCAAAATATGATTTTAACACCTTTACATGAGATAGTTTATAGTGTTTTTTAAATTATTACTTTTAGATGTATTAATATAAATAATAAAAAATATTAGGTTTATAGTGTTTTTTAAATTATTACTATGTATTAATATAAATAATAAAAAATATTATTTTAATTAAAAAGATATTTTTTAAAAACACAGCCCAACCGAACACACTTTACCAAACACGACTAATAATCAGGTACTGGCAAGCACAGTTTTCAAATTGGACTACCCGCTAATAAAGAGAGAGAAGAAGCTACACGGTGAGCTCTCACCTCCAGTAACACTCATAGCTCGAGAGGCGCTTCGTAATGGAGGCGGCGGTGATAGACGCTGGAAGTCAGCTCCTTAAGGCCGGCACTGCAGTTCCAGATCAATCTCCCCCCATGGTAACCTTCATCCCTCCACCCAAGCTTCCCTAACAAAACCACTACCAACTACAATTTCTACTCTAATTTTTTACTTTCATTTCTTCTTAACTATAATTTTGCAATTCTCATTTCTATTAGGGTTTCCATTTCCATTAGGTTTTTTTATCGTTTAATAAGTGATTTAAAATTATTTTAATGTCCGAGTAGATAATTCCGAGCCAAATGATACGAGTGGTGGAAGATGGAACATCAGGTGATAATAACGAATCAGTATTTGAGGATGTAACGGTCGATCCAGTGGTTCGAGGTCACATAAGGAATTGGGATGCAATGGAAGATTTGTTGCAGTATGTTTTATATGATGGACTTGACTGGGAAGAGGGAAATGAAGGCCAAATCTTGTTTACTGAACCGCTTTGCACTCCCAAGGTTATTTAACGCCTTCCTTTGTTATTCTTGGCCGGCCGTATATCATTGTTTGTTAGCAGCTTGAGTTTAGCGAGGATGGTGTCAGAAAACCTAATTGAATTTTTACATTACAGGCTGTGAGAGAACAATTGGTGCAATTGATGTTTGAGACATTTAATGTTTCGGGATTTTATGCATCGGAGCAGGCGGTGTTGTCTCTTTATGCAGTTGGGCGTATCTCTGGGTGCACTGTTGATATTGGTCATGGAAAGATTGGTATGTAAAACCGATCTTTTTAAGCTAAAGTATTTGTCATTGGATATCTTCCCTTTCAATCATTGCACGCAGTCGATGTGCATAAGTTTTATTTTTATTCTTATGCGTGAAGAATGTTCTATTTCTTAATTAGTCCCTCTTCATGTAACTGCGGAGCAGCACTTTTGATGATGAGAACCGGAGATTCGTGAAGCTTAATTTGCTTGGTGGTTTGCACTTGATAATCACTTATTTTCGTTTTTTATTTTCAATTTCAAATTAGCAGTTGAACATTAGCTTAAAAAAGAAATAACTGGGTGGGAAGTGAGTGCCCTTGATTGGGTTAGTTTTTTGGCTTGAGGTGTGATCTCTGTTTGTTTTTTAACGATATTGCCAGATATTGCACCAGTACTTGAAGGGGCTGTTCAGCACATTGCTTCGAGAAGATATGAAATTGGTGGTGTTGATTTGACAAAGTTACTTGCCCAAGAACTGGGTAAATCTAATCCTCTGGTGAATCTTAATGCCTCTGATGTTGAGATGTTAAAAGTAAAGTACTCATGTTGTGCTGAAGACGAGCTTGCTTATGAGAAGACCCAAAGGTCAAGTGATGAGGAGGAGCATACCCTTCCTGATGGACAGGTTTGTTTTGGTGTTGGTTTAAAAACTAGCCTGGAACCCAATCAGGTTCAACCAGGGTGAACCTGAGTTCAAGCTACGATGTCAGAATTGTCAAGTAAATAAATGATCTAATAATGATAGCAAGCTACTTTGACTTGATAAACTTTTCTTTTAAGTATAGGTAACATGTGGAATAGTTAAGCTAACATGTAATCTAATGACCCATTGGTTCTGTGGCTTATTCTCACCCTCTTGATCCACGTTCAAGCTATTATTTCTCTTCTTGTCTAAAATTTTTGTAATTCAAACATCACCCAAATGGCCAGGTTGATGTAGCATTTCCTTCTCTAACCACCAGTTGACCTATAGTTAGTTTGAATCAAATGGTTCTTTGACATCTGTTTTGATGGGAAATTGGCACATTGGCCACTCGATCAATGTGGCTGGTACAGCCAGGAGCAGGCTTCAAAACATTGCTTTCTGGTGCTAAGATTGAATTTATAGTCTTTATGCATCAATTATGTGTCAAGTTGTTATCTTGATTATATAAAATTCCTGGGACTTATTTTGGGTGAAAAGGAGCTTGGACTGTGGCCGACAAGTGAGTGCTAGGGGAGATTCTTCTTTTGTACGAATAAATAAATAAATTTATAGGTCAGGATTGTTTGTGTTAATCTAGTATTAAAATTTTCCTGATTGACTCTTGATATGAAATTTGGTAATTCAATGCAGCTCTGAATGTTTGTCAGGTGATTAGAATTGGAAGAGAAAAATATACTGTCGGTGAGGCTTTATTTCAACCATCTATACTGGGAATAGAGGCTCATGGAATAGTTGAGCAGCTTGCACGTAGTATTTCAATTGTTTCTTCTGAGAACCACCGCCAGCTGCTGGAAAATACTGTACTTTGTGGTGGCATAACTTCCATGCCTGGTGAGTTTTATTTATTTATTGAAATCTGTATGAAGTTGTTTAAGCATGACTTCTTTTTGTTGTTTCACTTCCTTCTTGATCAGAAAGAATTTGTTGCTTGGGATGGCTTATAGATTGTTACACTGATGCCTGCTGCAGGTTTTGAAGATAGGTTTCAGAAAGAAGCAAGCCTGTGCTCATCAGCTATTCGTCCTTCACTTGTAAAGGTAAATGATTAGATAGACTTTTATTTATTGATTGTTTCC